GTATAAATACACACATCTTAATTCAATTTGAGTTCATAGCAAAACATCTTAAATTATATTTTTATTTTTCATTTTTCACACAATCACTATGAAAGGTTCATCAAAAGTAAAGAGAGGAAAATCATTTATTATTAATGAAGATGTGGCAATTTGTAGAGTTTGGTGTCACATTATTGAAGACCCAATTGTTGGGAATTCGCAATCTCATGCTCATTTTTAGGGAAGAATTTTTGAAAATTATTTCTCGCTGTAGAATGATCACTCAAGAACACAAGTGTCTATCTTATCTCGATGGGGTGTAATCATGAAATGTTGCAACAAATTTCGTGAGTGTTTAGCGCAAGTTGAAAATCTACACCCAAGTGGGATGTTTCAAGTTGATATAGTAAGATTTCACCTTCTTTTATTATGTTAGTTTTTTTTTATTTTGTCTCATATAAAAATTAACTAATTAATTAATTTAATATTTTATTGATACAGACGCTTCAAGCAAAACTTTTATACCATTAAGATGAAAACAAACATTTTGCTTTTGAACATTGTTGGCCAATCTTGCAAAACAATATCAGATAGCAAGATATAACTCCTACGAACACAGTGAAGTCAGTGATACATACATTGTTTTCCTGTAATTCAGCCCCCGAATCCCCTATAGATAACTGCATTTCTCTTGAAGACAACTACAGTCCAAGTGTTGGTAACAATCCAACTGTTGGTAATAATCCAATTGGTTAGGGTAGTGTCTCTACAAGGGGTAAAAGTCCTATGAGTAGGAAATCTTCAAAAGAATTATTTTGAAGAAGTCAAGTCATTGAAGCTGAAGTCCATAAATTTAACAATTTGTTGGAGACATTTAACCAACACCTTGCTGAGAAGAAAATGAAAAAAACTGAAGAGAAGGAAAAAAGAAAAAAGAAAAAAAGTCTCAAGCATTACAGGAGATAAAAGAAATTGAGATCAAAAGACAAGAACATTTGTAGGAGACGAAAGAACATGAGGTCAAAAAGGAAGAACATTTAATAATGACTACGGACATTTCTCATTTGGACTCTCAGACGAAAGCGTATTACATAATGCGCAAAAATAAGATTTTCGCCAAGTGATCCACACATGTCAGCAGCCCAAATTACTATTTTCCCCTGCCTTTTGATGAATAATTACGAGAGAATGTATTTTTTAATTTTGCAATGTCACTTATTTTTTAATGTAATTTTTAGTTTTTATTTGCAATGCCATTTTTATTTTGCAATGTAATGTAGTGGTCCATTTAATTTTGAGTATTTTTTTATGTTCCAATGTAATTTTGTTTTTGCAATGTAATGTTGACTATTTTTTAGTATAATTTTAATTTTTCAATGTTATTATGAAAAAATACATATATTATTGAAATGAAGGCAATAAAGTTGCAAATGATGACAATTTTATAAAATAAAATGATATTAAATGACATTAAGTATCATTAAAAAGATAAAATAAAAACTTAATCTAACTCTCCAGATTAGGACCACAAGTTTAGATCATTATGAATTACATTATGGGCTTTAGTAGATCTAGTCCTCTGGGGATTCAACATAAATTCATCATGCTCTTGATTTGGATCGCGTGACACTTGATATGGGGTATTAGTGGTATCAATTTGCAGTAGTGTTGCACTGTGTTCGTTTTCTGGAATATTACGCTCATCTTCAATGACCATATTGTGCAAAATAATTCACGTTTTCATGATATAGTACAGATCCTCATCACTCAAACCTCTCACCGATACTCTAACAATATTAAAACATGCTTGGAGCACTCCAAATGCGCTTTCAACATCCTTCCAACATGCCTCTTGCATCCTCGCAAATAGTTGTCTCTTTAAACCTTGAGGTTGAGATATTATTTTTACAATCGTTGCCGAACAAGGATAGATACTATTAGCAAGATAATATCCCATGGTGTACACGTGATTATTGATAGTATAGTTGGCAACAGGGGCACGTCCTCTAGTTAATTCAGAAATTAAAGGTGACCTGTCAAGAATAGTAATATCATTCAGAGAGCCAGGCATGCCAAAGAAAGCATGTCAAATCCATAAGTCGTAGGAGGCAACTACCTCGAGTACAACTGTTGGTTTGTAGTAGTGTCCAGTGTAAGAATTGGCTTGGGAGGTTGGACATTTATCCCAACAACAGTGCATACAATCCAAACTCCCTAACATTCTAGGAAACCCACATTGCTCTCCCACTTGCAATAGTCTGGTAACATCTGCCTCATTTGGGGATCTTAAGTAAACGCCTTCATAGATAGCAACAATCGTTCTGGTAAAAAAATTCAAGGCGACAATTGGAGTAGTTTTGCCAATTCTGATGTACTCATCCACAGCATCAGCAGGTACGCCGTATTATAGGATCCGAAGTGTAACAGTCATCTTCTGTTCACCGGATAATCCAGGAGCACCAGTGGCATCATGGGTTTTGATGAAGTGCTCATTGACTTGTTGAATATCATGTAAGATGCTAAAAAATAATGACCACCTCATTCGAAAACGTCTTCAGAAGTATTCTTTCAGGTAGATGGGATTATCTGCAAACTAATCTCTATAAATTTGTTCGGTGCCTTTGACCCTTTCACGATTAATGTATCAACGACCACTTGTGAAACCAACATGTCTGGTTGGTTGGTTTAGGGTTAACGCTTGTATTTTTTGTTGTTGTGCTATTAATAGTTGTATCATCATTATATCATAATTTGATGATAAAGATTCATCAAAATCTCCATTGAAGACAACTTTAGTAAAATTGTTCATTGTGGGTGGGTAGGTGGGTGTGTGAATATGAAAATTATAGAAAATCTTATGGGTGGATACAAAGAGTTTAGAAGATATGAAAACTGTGGGTAGGTGAATATGAAAATTGTAGAGAACCTTGTGTTATAAATTATAGAGAAAATTGTGGGTTGATGAATGATGGGTGGTTGTTGGTAAGTAAATGGTGGATGAATAATAGATGGTTGTTGGGTGGGTGGTTGTTGGTGAATGAATACTGGGTGAATGATGGATGATTGCTGGTGGATGTTGTTGGTGAATAAATGCTAGTTGAATAATGGATGGTTGTTGGTGGGTAGTTGATGATTGTTTATTTTTTAATGTAGTTAATAATTTTTTTTTTGTGTGGGGTGAATTATATTTATTTATTTTTTTTCATTTTTTTATATTTATCTGGTCGGGTATAATGTAAATATATAAAAAAAAATTTGAAACAGTTGGAAAAAGGTCACAAAAGAAAAAAAAATAAAGAAAAGAAAATCACTAAAAAATCTATATCCAAACAACACCTACAAACTTAGAGGGAAAGTTGATTGAGATTTGCCAAAATAACATGTGACCATTGGAGCACCATTGTTATAATTTGGCAATTTGCTACTATTCATTATCAAATTATAGCAATGGCAATGCTATTATAACAAATATCTTTGGAGATACTCTTAATAGATGTAATAAGAATTTAGTACTAATGCTATATTTGATTCATTGGAATGAGATGAAATAGAATGGAATAGTGATTCTTTTAGCATTCTTATGGAATGATTATTCCCTTAACATTGTGAAAGATGATTCCATTGATAATTCATTTGTCATTATATTTTTAATCCTACTAAAAATATGTGAATAAATATTTTAATAAAATGATTATTTCATTCTGGTTTATTTCAATGAACCAAACTAAAAATATTGAAAATTTTCACTAAAATTAATTATTGGATCACTTTAAAATATTGAAAAATTTCACTAAAATTAATAAAATATAGATTGAAAACTAAAAAAACTATTTTAAAAAATTTCAAACCAAACAAGGTAATAAAACCAAATTTCAAAATGCTCGAATGAGATACACTATTTCCGCTAGTACGTCATGTTATGAATCTTCTTGATGACATAGGTACTGTAATTCATTTCTGATAGATAAATGATATTTAAACTTGTTAGCCACAACATCAAATCAAAGATACATAGCATGGTTAATTGTTGATTTTGGCCTCCTAATGTTGTTACATTGCTTTTAGAAACTGATCATTATGGGTAGTGCTTAAAATTGTATTTGATTTCAAAGTTTCGGGAGAATTTGATTAACTAAATGGTATCAAGGGCCTAATATATGTAGCAGAGTATGTTTTGAAAATGAAAATCCTCGTCTTCTGTTAAATTTATTTTGTTAGACAAATTACACCAATAGTCCCTATATTTTTGGTTTTGTATCATTTTAATTCTTCTAATTTTAATTAACTCAATTTTGGTCCTCAATTTATGATTTTAGGGTGATGCACCAATAAATCCCAAATTAACAACTTATACACTGTTTAGTCCTAAAAGTTTTCTTATAGACAGAAAGGTCCCATTATAGGGAAATTGACCATAGAGGGCATATACATCAAACATCATCATCAAAACAACATCGTCATCAAACAACATCAAACATCATCATCAAAACAACATCAAACATCACAAACATCATCATCAAAACAGCATCAAACATCACAACATCATCAAACATCATCATCAACATCAAACGTCATCACATCATCAACAACACAACATCACAACATCAAACATCACAACAACAACATCATCATCAAAACAACATCGTCATCAAACAACATCAAACATCATCATCAAAACAACATCAAACATCACAAACATCATCATCAAAACAGCATCAAACATCACAACATCATCAAACATCATCATCATCAACATCAAACGTCATCACATTATCAACAACACAACATCACAACATCAAACATCACAACAACATCATCATCAAAACAACATCAAACGTCATCATTATCAAAACAACACACATCATCGCCATCATCAAGCTTCACCGCCATCGTCAAAACATCATCATCAAAAGTCATCTATACAATTCATATATATTTTTTATAAATAAAAAAAACCCTAATCAGAGTTGTATTGAATGAAAATCTTTCGGAAATACCCAAATGGAAGGACGGATTGATTATCAGTTGATGTCGGAGTCATCAAAGTCCTCTTCAAAGGAGTTGAAGAAGTGAGCGTCGGCAATGGAAACTAAGCCCCTCTCGAAAGCAGTAAAGGCGTCGAGTTGGTCCTCTCCGGAGACGTCTTGATCTTCGTCCATCTCTGCTATCTGATCGTCCTCTGTGAAGAAAACAGAATGAATGGAACCAATAAAGAGGAAGAGAAAGAAGTAACCGTCTTCTTCAAGGTCACTGCCAGAATCGACGGGATCGAACTCAGAGACGGTGGAATCGGCGGCAGGAGGAGGAACCTAAAGAGACTCGCTTTCGATGATGTGAGAAGTGCGAGATCGGACGCCGAGGAAGTTAGGGTTAGAAACAATGCCGAAAGCTTTGTAGTTGTCGAGAACACTGCCTTGGTCGTCCCATTTGGGATCGGAGGAATCGATCATGGAACGAAGCTTTGGAGGGAGAGAGAAGGAAGGTTTGAATATGCGAGGGTTCTTCTTTGATAGTCCCAGATGTTGTTTGATGATGATGTTGTGATGTTTGATGTTGTTTTGATGATGATGTTGTGATGTAAAAAAAGGACTAAATGGTTTACCAGAAAACATTCAGGACTAAATGGAGTAACATTTTTCAATATGGGATTTATGAGTAATTTTTCCATGATTTTATCTCAATTTGGTCTAATTAATTACAATGAGTTGTATTTTTGATGAAAAATGTGCACATAAGTGACATGTTATACTTTTATAAGAAAAATTGTAATTTTGTTTAACTTAGTGAGTTAATCTCAACCAATTTTGTAATAATTTTTTTTCAAAAATCCTAATCAAAGTTATCAATTGTACAAAATTGATACAAAATTTAAAATTACTCGTCAAAATTGAATTAATTAAAATTACATTAATCAAAATGATATAAAAGTCAAAATGCAGAGACTACCAATATAATTTACCCTTATTATTATTTTATTTTTTTGGGTGAAGGGAGAGGGGAAAAAGGAAAGAAATATGTTGCACCCTCAAGGATAATTTTATAATGAGTCTTTTAATGTAGAACTTGTACCCTTTTTAAAACATTTGGGAAGTGTATTCGAATCCTTTATTTTTATTTTGGAAATCTTTGCTGTTGTTGTATGTTGGTTTTGGAGTAGTATAATCCGATTTAAACTTGTTTGGTTTGGTTGTTCGCACTTGTTCTTGTCAAAAGTTCCTTGGAGACTTAGAAATTCTATTCTAGGGTCGACATCAGCCTTCCTAAGGGTCGACCCTTACCTGTTGGTGAAGTTTTTGGAAGTGTTGATGGAAAATAGGGTCGACCCCCTCCTGTCTAAGGGTCGGCCCTCTTATATTGTGGAATCGGTGTTAGTTGCTGGAAAATAGGGTCGACCCCCTCCTGTCTAAGGGTCGACCCCCTTGCTTGTGCCAGATTGTCTTTTCTACCTAAAGGGTTGACCCCCCTGCCCAAAGAGTCGACCCCCGCATGTTTTTTTTTGGTTCGAATGGGCCCTACTTTTGGGGGGTTTTGGGGCCTATTATTTTATTTGACCTTAGGGCTATTCTCTACTACTATAAATAGGCCCAAACTACTTTTCTCTCATTATTTCCCTCCCATTTTTCCTCACAAGCTGTGATTTCTCTCTTCTCTCTCTAAAACTTGACTTTTCGCACTTAAATCTTCAAATATACTCACCTAGAGCCATCTTTTCACCTTGGTCGTTTGGGAAAGATTGTAGATCTTGTCAAGGGCTTTCTATTGATCCAAGTAGTTCGTGGTTTCGTCACCGGTGATTTTTGGATTGTTTTCTATTCGCTTCAAGAGGTAGGGATTTCTTTGCTCCTTTCCAATACTTCGTCTATAGATAGATATGTGGTAGATTTTATTGCATAAAAATCATATTCATTATGGATTTTCTTGAAAGCCACGAAAGGGGATCTAGGGTTTGATATTTGTGATTGGAGTTGTTAAGTTGTTTGTTGTTGGGTTATTTGGGAAAATGATTTATTATGTTTGTGAAGAGAGGGAGGAAAGCCCTAATTTAATATTATTGTTATAATGGATTTAAAAAGGAGGGAGTTGAATAATCTTTATATTTTGCTAATATGGGTTGTATAATCGTGTTTATATCAAAAGGAAATAAAAAAGGAAGTAACTACGGTGTTGGTATTGTTTTAGACTAATCATATGGAGTTGAGTTGAGTTATGGTTTTGATACCAATGGAATTGGTTTTGTAAAATAAAGCGAATAGATTTGGTTTTCGTTTTATAAAATGACGATAATGAATTTTTAGAAAAATGGTTGGAGACGTGTGATTGTAAAATAAACAAAAGTGGTCCTTTTGAAAGAAAATGAAATCATCACCCTTCGTAAATTGATAATAAACTTGGGGTCCGATTTTGAAACTTTTACATATTATCATTGTTATTGGACTGAACGTCGTGTGAGAATTGAATTTTGTTTTCCTTTCGTATTAAATGTAGAAATGGATATATATGAATGTAAATGGTGGAGTTGGATATTTGTAATCTCTCATTTATGAAAATATGGATAGTTTATCTATTTTGGAGACTGTATATATGTTTCGAAAGATATGTTTTGGTTGTCATTGAATATGACAGTTTGATTAAATTGTTGAATGTGTGAATTTTGGTAGTCATTGTATATGTGACACACCTTTAAATACATTGTATATGTATCATTGTTTGGGAGGAGATAGGGGATATGTACTCCATTGTTTGCGAGGAGATAAGGGATGGACTCTATTGAAAATTAAGTTGGCCGGAGTGTCCAAGGTGAAAGTTCCGAAATCTTATATATATATGTGGGTGACGATTCCCTCGGATGAGAATTCTGTAAAATGGAAAAATTGAAGTGCTTGTGTATAAATGGGTGTCGATTCCCTCAGATGAGAATTCTGTAAAATGGTAAAATTGAAGTGTTTGTGTAATAATTGTGTTGATTGAGAACCCCTGAGTTGTAGCCTCAATTGGGAGTCTAAAATGTAATGAATTGGCTAATGAATTGAGATGAAATAAATTAACTTGAAATGAATTGTCATGAAATGAAGTAAGACTAAATTGACTAAAGGTGTACCCTTGACTTAGCGTTTTGTTATGGAAAGGTATATCCTTGGTTTATCGTGCTTAAGGCAGGTAGAGCGGAACACGTGTATCATTATTGTCTCAGTGTATCTGGGTATATTATGGGTTATGATGGTTATGATTCTGGAAAGCCGAGTTGCCTCATTTGTTAAGTAGATAGTTGTTGGTTGCTTGTTGTTTTTCCCTTTGTACTGAATGTATATGTATAAAGACATGAATGTGTTGGAAACAAACTGTAGATGCGCCCGTGGGCCTCGTGCTACAATTCGGACTCAAATTGTCACGGTCCTGTATCTAATCTCGCAGAGTGCAATGCAAGACCGATGAATCATCAAAGAGTCCAAATCCGGCAAATCGTTTTTGGAAACCAGATTTTTTTAGAAAGAAGTGCCAATCATGGACTGCTTTGCCAGATACAGAGTCACCACCTAAATATTTTTTATGGGGAATTTAGGAAACCCTGACTCGTTTGCCTGAGGCCACGTGTCCGTCATCACCAAAGTTGCCTCGGCTCGGGAACTTGGGTACGATTAGGGAAGGTTAGCTATGAGGACCCCCGCTAGCCCAATCAAAGATCGGCCTCTACTAACCATGATATCTAGTTTTGAAAGTGTTACGTGTTCTTGTTCCGGTTACTTAACCTAGAATTGCTATGTGATGCGCACAACACAAAAGTATAGACTAGATTGCCTAATTTGTAACAAAGCATCGCATATCCAATGTTTGAAAATGATTTGAGGTTTGCTACTCGCAAGTAGGCTAAAATATGGATTTCGATGAATTATTCCAATTCAAACAATCCAACCTTCACCCACAGGCATTCAGGCAGTAAATCACATAAGCAAATAGCCTCATGGTAAGCATGCTTTTATGTTAACATTCACACTCATGCGAGATGCTAAAGCATAAACACTCACCTAGTACTCCAAGCCAAAACAAGGAACATGTTAGTAATCAAATGTATGATCCAAGTCCATGTTAAGATGGCTAATGCATCGCAGGCAAAATACAGCTAGAATAGGCTTGGCTAATCTATGGATGGCATGTGAAATGCGACAGATAACATGTATTCAAGTTAAATTTGAAATACTATGCAATTAGTATGATGTGCCGAGCCTGGTGCATGCGATACGGATGAATGAATGCACACATGCATGGCATAAGGATGCTAATTAAAATATGCCCTAATACTAACCATCGAAAGCAGGTAAGTAAAAGGGAGAAAGAAGTGGAGGTTGGAAGACATGTATCACACACACGCACGCTTATTACACAATTCACCCTCTCTCGGAGGAACCAAAAGAATAGTACAAATTTAACTAACTATCAAGCTAATTAAATAATTACAGACCACTTAACTAGTTAAGCAAATTAACTAAGCTAATAAAGCGGTAAAACAGCCTCGGGAAGAGGGTCCAATGCATGCGTGCTCGGTTCCGCTCGAAAATCCACCACCATGCACAAGCTGCCTCTGTTTACACTGCTATGTGCCTCTGAGAATTGCACAAGTCCCAAGGATGCTTCAGCATTACTCCCTGATCATTGTGGGATGCCACCGGCCATAAGAAATGGTCACCGACCATGGTAAAGTGGTCATCGACCAGTTGTATAGCTCTCGGCCAAAGATATTTAGTCGGCCGGCACTGAGAATGGTCAGTCGACCATATCTTCCTACAGAACCCTGTTTTGACAGCAGCAGAGGGCAAACATGGCATGGCAACGCATTTTAAAGCAAATGTCTGCACCACCACACTCCTTATCATGTTTGTGACTCAAAGGAGTTTGGTACTCAACCCTCGGGCCATCAATCGCGCATTTCAATGCGTGATGGCCAAAGAGGCCAAGTGTGCCATTTCAATGTCAAATTGAGTGCACATAAACAAATAATGGACCTAACCTCTATCATGGTGATTCAAGAGGCAAGGTATGCAAGCAAAATGCAACCTAAGCATGCGAGCTAAGTATGCAATATGAGCATGCAAATAAGCAATGTGTACTAGGCATACAACCTAAGCAAACAAGCATGCTAGACATGTAACAATAATGCTAATGACCAACATGCAACATGTGAGGGGAACTTAGCATAGGAATATGTAAAGTAACTTAGCACAAGATGCATGCCAAATGCAACACCACTTAAACGTGCAACAACATGTTAATAGGCTAAACATCTAAACATACAAACATGTATAGCATGCAACGA